TGAAGGCAACCCAAAAGGACCATGCACCATCGGGTCAAGTACATACCAAAATAGTTATGGACTTAGACACTAATCCAACACTTTTCACCTGCTTAGTTTCTCTTCTCCATCGGAAACCATCTCTGTAACCCCAATTTTCGATAAAAACCATCAATAATTTATGAAACCCTAGCATCGCTACCTTATCTCATCTAGATTAGGGTTTTCGGCGAAGAAGGACGACAACGATAGATAGTTTTTGCCGAAGAAGAAGAAGAAGAAGGATATTAGATGGACGAGACTCGACGGAGAAGAGAGAGAAACGAATGCAACGTTTGTGGCTTGAGTTTCCAGATGAAGTCGTCGTCGATGTGTGAAGACGACAATGTTTATTTAGGTTTTCAAATCGGAACTACTGAAGGATGAAGCCACCTTCGACGTCAATCTGGGTTTTCACGTCTTCGCTGCCCTTCGTCTTCTTTAGTATGTCGCAACCTCTGCTTGTAACTAAATTCTTTCTCCGACCAAGCCATCTGTTATTTGGATTACTATCTTCATCGAGTTATAATGTTGTTGAGAGAGATAAAGAAATGGAGAGGTGGTGTTGCTCCGACCGTGAATAATCTATGGTGGTCGGAACCCCCATTCGCCGGAAGTCGGTGGTGACGTTAGTTTCATTTTGTGAAAATTCAGAGAGAGAGAGAGAGAGAGCGAGCGAGAGAGAGAGAGAGAGAGAGAGAGAGAGAGAGAGAGAAAGAAAGAGAGAGGGGAGAAGGGGAAGTGCGGGGAGGGGTAGGGTAGTGATGTAGGTGAGTTTTTTTCTTTTCTTTTTTAATTATTGTAATACAAATAAATAGAAAAAGAAAGTACAAAGGGCAAAATTGGTATTCTAAAAAAGTTTAAAATAAATTTGACCAAACAAGCAACAAAATGAAAGCTTTGAATCTCTGGTGCTAGTCCAAACTTTTTTTGGACCAAAGTGGCAATTTTCGACATACCACAAGGACCATTTGTGCAGTTTAGTCTTAATCAATATGTGATACAAATACTATTTATCAGGTTAATCTGGATATTTTATATTTACTTATGGTTTCATTTGATTTGATTAATAAACTATTCCCTTTTCAGTTTATTTAAGTGGAGAAAATTGCAAAAAAAAAAAAAGGTCTATTATTATTATTACTAGGTGTGAAACCCGTGTAATACACGGGTTCACTTAAAAAAATATATTAAATTAAAGTGGAAATATAAAATATTTTTAATGTACAACTTTAAATAAGATTTAAATGAAGAAATGTATTTATTGCAATTTAATATCATATATATATATGATATTTAATACTTTACATATATAATTATATGATTTTAATTTTAAAAATTGAAACAAATCAAAAATTGACAAGTGGATAATATTTATTTCAAAAATACCACAAAATTACAAGTGTCAAAACTCATGAGAGATTGACATTTGTCAAAAAAAAAAAAACTTCATTTATTAAGGAGGATTATATTATTATTATTTTGTCTTTTTCTTTTCCGAGCCATGCGATTTCAAAATTGCAAGCGAGCATCGTTCCTTTATCTTTTCCCTTCCCAACGATATCTATTTCACTGCATACCACACCCACCTCCATCGGTTTTCTGTCATTTTTCTCCATTTTCTATTTATTAAGTTAAAGGTTCAAATAAATAAATAAAATATTATTTGTAAGCATAGGGTTGAATTATGCAGTGACCGTAATTATGGAAATGGTCTTTGCCTTATGAAATTGATTTCACTTTTTACATTGATCTAAGTAATATATTAACGTTGATTAGTCGTTCAATTTTGGTTTGTAATGGACTAATGGTTATGCAATTGTAATGTTTTTGGTAATGATTTTGGTTTGTTCATCATCAACTTTTTTGGTTTGTTGATCGTCAATTTTTTGGTTTATTGACACAATTTTATAAACTAGAACTACTCCCACTTACAAATGTACCATGCTTTCCCTTACAAGTTAATTATAATCTAAATTGTTACATTTTGATCATTTTACTACATACCTTGTCTTAATAACTTGACATTTTCACCATATACTCACAATCATAGTTTCTAATAGCTTTCTAAACTCCCTTCTATCTCGTCTTTTTAAGCTTTCCAACATGTTTGCAGTGATAAGGTGGGATCAAAATGGTTGTGCATAATGGCTTGGTCCACTTAATTAATCACTCCTGTCATTTAATTGGGTGTACCTTGAAATGATACATATGCCTCCAAGTGTCCAACCAATAAATAGGATGTGTCCATCTTTCAGGTTTACTATCACATGCTTTGTTCTTCCCCAAATCCCATATTATGGTCACTTCATGTTTGCATGGCATCCTAGTTACTACTGCCCACCTTCTGAAAGAGAAAGACCTTTCCTTCATCTCAACCACAAATTGATCATGCAAATGAAAAATAAACACAACATTGTACTTTGGAAAGTTCTATTTTGATGACCATGAGCTTTGTACCATATGGTGTTAGTGGTCCCTTCCACTTCATTATAACCTTTTCCATATTTGCAATTTTTTTCATCAAGTACTCACGGATAAACTTTAGTGCAATGATGATGGGCTTGTCTCTTCCATCATCTACTTCACTCTTCAGCAACTCACACATAGTATTTAGTTGCACATCATAATATGATACGCCTAAACATGTATTATAATATTAGTCATGTCATTCTAAATGGTCTAATACTTGAACCTAATTTATATGCATACTAACAAAATAAACAATACATGAGAAATGTGAGTGCTAGGAAGATTTATTTCAACCATTCATATGCATCATTGTTTAACCTTTTTCAGATCTTTTTTACCAACATTAAAATGTTACATATAGCATGTTGTAGCCTACTGCCATAGTAGTTCCCTATACACATTGTCTTTTCCAGTTGACCTTATTCTCATGAATATATCATAAGTAAAACGTGTAATTTGCACATGGAAAGGGTTTGTAATTTCTAAGATTACTCCATAAAATAATAAAATAGTTAGAAATATTTTCATTTATAGTTAACAAGAGTAATATTTACATATATTTAAAACAATTATGCCTTTTTCCTATCAAAACCAAAAGTGAAGTTTGATATTATTAACAAATCTAGGTCATCAACTAAGCATAACAAAAATAGTGTCAACAAATTTGTATTTTCCACCTTAACTATATATGGCATAGACCATGGTGTTCCAGACGCATAGCATGAGGAAAAGTCATATTTTTTAAAGTATCATTCACTCTTTCAATTGGTTTTTGAATAGATGTAGTAAAAGTAATATTTCTTGGATCCGGTGGTTGCAAAACCCTCTTCTTTATGATCTTTGTAATTGTTTCTTCCTCTAGCTGTTTGTATACAGCTTTGCATTACATCATTATCATACGTGTACCCGCCCCATACCCGCTTCGGGTATGAATTTTAACCCCCGTCCATACTCTGTTATCCATCAGGGAATCCCGCCCTGTTAGGGTCGGGTCCCCGTGGGTAACCGAATCCACGGGTCCAATTTGCATCCTTGATTTTGAATATGACATCCAACTAAAAAAGATTGGGATTAATAACTATTTAATAAATCTAATAATAGTTACAAGCATGTCCATTGTCAATTGTGTTGGTTAGATTTGCCACCACCTGCCTACAGAAGAATCTAAATAAAAAAACGTAAATTTCTTTTAAAACAATATTTTGTTTATTATAATATACAAAATAGAGTAGACTTGATGAAGTCGCAAAGTCACCGATTACGACCGCACAATTGTCCAATTCCGTTGGGAGTTGGTTTAATTCACATTTATAATTTTGCGTTGGAAGATTAATATCATATGTACATTTTTTTGTTGTTCCAAAGCATAATTTCCGATCATCCGAGATCCGATATACATTGATTCTGACGTAGTAGCGTATTTCTTGTTTTTTTTTTTTTATATATTTTTCAATTATTAAGCATAAGGTTGGAGACCAGATGCTGGTTCAAAAGAAAATTTGGTTGGAGACCAGAGGTATTGTGATACCTTTACCATTTTTTTATTCCATATGGTGACGCCTTTACTATATTTTATTATTTTTTCCATTCCATATAATCACCTTATTGTCTTTTTTGGCTTCTTGTCTCACATAAGGAGTGGCGACCATGATACTATTATTTCTTTCAACAATTTAAACAAGAAACTTCAATTTCGTTAATCTAAATTTGAAATCTAAAAAAAAAAAAAAAGGAATATAAAATATAAAAACCTTTTTAAAAATACATAAGCCTACGATGACAATCATGTCGGCCTCCAATTGGTTGGTTGTTGTCAAGTCAGAATACATCAACTCGTTCACAACTCATATAATTATTCGTGTCACAGGTTGGCAGATTGGAAACATCAACCCGCACACGACCCGTCTAATCTGTTTAGTTATATGAGTTCGTGGGTCAGATTCGGGTTGGTGAGTTTGCGAGTTGATCCGTGAACTCAAATATTATTTGTGTAATAGTGATGACTAGTTTGATTTAACGCATGCAACACATAGGCTGATAGGCATAGTCACATAATTTAAATATAATATATATTATACGGTGAATTTTTCACAAGAAGGTTTTGAGTTCAAATCTACTCAAGACTCATTCCTGGGTGGCCAAGAGGAGGTTACGTAGCAACGTAGCAACGCTTGCAAATACAAAGACAAAACATGTCCATGTCATCACCAAATAGTGAACCACCTCCGGGGAAGTGTGCTCTAAAACGGTAATACCCTTTAAAAAAATTAAGGTTGACCAGCAAACCCAAATATCAACCCGAACATTACGGTTAACAAGTTGGCGTGTCAGAAATCTCAACTCAAACCTGTTTATTTTCATACCTGATTTGTATTGTGTCGTGAGTCGTGTTGAGAATTATCACCCATAATGAAACCATATTTCATATTCACCATATACATCATAATAATAAATTATTACTATTGATAATTTATTAAAAAAATGTATATTATTTCAACTATTACTAATAATGTATATTATTTCAACTATTACTAAGAATTTATTATTGTTCCTTTTAATAAACATTGTCAAGATACATGGATTGTTCTCACATTAACCGAATATTTAATTTACTTTAACTGCTTCAACTTTAGCATAAAATAGTTTGTTTTTTAACAATAAAAAGTACATTAAACACCTGAAATTGAGAATTACAAAGATGAAAACTGAAAATTACTCGAACAAGAATGTGTCATCACTGCGAATTATTAGGTGGTACTTGTAACATCTTCGGTGGTAACTACATATTAATAGCAATGGGATTGACTTTTAAACTGAACTTCAATATCAAAGAAACAGAGAGAGCGACACATATATTTATAAAAGGACAAATGTCTTGGAAGGGAATCTATGGCCGAAGAGCAAGACATGGTATAACGGCCAAATAGATGCAAGTTAAAAATAAATCAATAGATGCCAAACAGATATTGTATCCTATCTTATAGGGGATCATATGAAATCTATGGAAACAAGGTGCTAAATTTTAACATTTAGAATAATAAGATTCGTGTAAAATGCAAAAGAAAATGTTATGTCCATACCCCTTTTTCGGGGCACTAAAATAACATAGAACAAGAAAACACACGGGATGACCTTGTACTCTGTTTGACTTTCGATAGACTTGGCCTCATATTGAGAATGAAAATTGCAAAAGACATTCATGGGAAATAATCCTAAAAAGTTTGTCTACTTCGGTCCAGTCTTGTCCAATCCAATCATGCATCAGTGTAACAAACAGAGCCTAAATAGCATTGTCATCATCATTAAAAATTCATACAAAATACATGTAGACACAAGCTAGCTGCCAAGCAACAAGCAACAATAATTTTGCAAAGAGTTTTTAACCGCATAATAAAGCCAAAAAGATGATTCCTAATCAACAATATTGATCAACCCAAAGTGGAATGCATTATGTATATGTATATTGATAGATACTACTAATAGCGAAATCATCGTCTGTTAGCATAAATCATCTTACGGCTGACCACCTTTTAAAATTAAAAATGCAGGTCATAAGCTTTTGTCCTAAACACATTTAAGCTATAAAATATGCATAAAAACAAGTTATGATTCATGACATGCATCAGACCAAAAGATGGACAAATTTGATCAAGAAATGAAGGAGATTAATGGATCATCAGGAAAACATGAGAGCGATGAGAAAGAGAAGGTGTCTCGCAGATTATTAGGGATGTTATTTGAACATGCTGACTGGAGTGACATGGTTCTAATGGCATTGGGAACATGTGGATGCTTTGTAGATGGATTAAGTGTGTCTATAATGATGTTGGTTTTCAGTCATTTGATGAATGTTTATGGTTCGGTTTCCTCTTTAACACCCGCGGATGTAAATAAGGTTAGTTGTCCATGTCAGCAAAATAACTATACACGATGTAGAATGCTATTAGCTAACCACCACATCCATCGGTTTTGCAGTATGCTCTCGCGTTTATCTACATCGCTATTGTTGTGGGTGCAGGCGCTTTTCTAGGTAGGTGGGTCCGTTTGATACACAGTCTAGGACATAACAGGTTGTACTGTGTTTAGACCAAGACTGAGTCGGTTGTCAATGGGATGATACTGTTATTTTTTGTCCCACCCAAAGGGGCGGGACAAATAATCGCCCGTTTGTGCAAAAGACGTGGATGCCCTCCTCGTCGTCAAAAATAGACATTTAACAATGGATTGACATTAAACAGAGGGATTCTGTTGGGGTCGAACAGCAGAGAGGCAATCATCCCGTATACGCACCAAATATTTAAAAGCTATTTTACGCCAACAAGTAGGATACTTTGACACAACACTTGAAGCATCTCGTGTAACTACAAGTATTTCAACCGATATGATAAATCTACACGGAGTCGTTAGTGAAAAGGTGATCGATCCACAATTCAACATGTTCTTTATCGTTATATACTTTTATTTTAAGGGAACATGTTGTGTTTTTATGATATCTGCCTTTACTTTATTACAATGTTATGATATTTTTTTAACAGATTCCAAATTTTATCACGAATATATGGATGTTCATAGCGGCTGAGATAACGGGTATGTATTTGTGTTGGAGATTGGCGATTGTGGCGGTCCCCGCGATGTTTTTGTTGATTCTTCCGGGGTCAATTTACGGAAAGCAGTTATCAAGCAATGAAGAGAAGCTACAAGAAGCTTATGCGGTTGCTGGTGGGGTCGCAGAGCAGGCTTTTTCATCAATAAAGACAGTTCATTCGTATGTTGGAGAGGATAAAATGGTGAACCGGTTTTCAACCGCGTTAGGACCCACTTTAAGTCTTGGGATCGAACAAGGTTTACTGAAAGGGATAGTGTTTGGAAGCGTTGGAGTTATATACGCAATTTGGGCGCTTTTAAGCTGGTACGGGGGCGTTTTGGTCATTGACAAGGGGTTGAAAGGTGGAGATATTCTTAGCGCGGGAGTTTGTGTTATCTATGGGGGATTGTAAGTATAAGACCATTTTGTTTTTTCTAGATTTTGCCATTTTAGTATATAATGGTTTGATCACTATTTTGCAGTGGATTGGGAAGTTCTTTCATGAACATAAAGTACTTTGCAGAAGCAAGTATTTCAGCAGCCGTGATTAGTGAAATGATTGAAAGAATCCCATCCATAGATTCCGAAGATCAACAGGGGACAACCATAGATTCAATCAGAGGTGAATTGGAGTTCAAAGATGTCTATTTTGCATACCCATCAAGACCCGAAAGCTTGGTTTTAAAGAAATTCAATTTAAAGGTGAAGCCTTGTCAAACCGTTGGACTGGTTGGTAGCAGTGGGTCAGGTAAGTCAACAGTGATAAATCTGATTGAAAGATTCTATGATCCTCTTGAGGGAGAGATTCTGTTAGATGACATCAGCATAAAGTCGCTCAAGTTAAACTGGTTACGTAGACAAATCGGGTTAGTGAGCCAGGATCCTATACTTTTCGCCACATCAATCAGAGAAAATATTCTATTCGGGAAAGAAGATGCCACAAGTGAAGAGATTGTAGAAGCAGCTAAAAGAGCAAATGCACATGAATTCATCACACAACTACCCAAAGGTTATGACACACAGGTAAGTGAGCACCTTCTTATAACTTTCTTTAAGTTTGATTGTGTGTTTACTGTTTAGTTTATGTTCTGATTTGTTTTCTTAGGTGGGAGAATTAGGAACTCAAATGTCGGGAGGGCAGAAGCAACGGATTTCAATTGCGCGGGTCCTACTTCGAGATCCAAAAATCTTGCTTTTAGATGAGGCCACAAGTTCATTAGATTCACATTCTGAAAAAGCTGTACAACAGGCTTTGACTCAAGCTTCAATAGGAAGAACAACACTAATCATTGCACATCGTTTATCTACACTCGATAATGCAGATGTAATTTTCGTAATGCAATCAGGTGAAGTAATCGAGTCCGGATCACATAACCAACTTCTTTCAAACACTCATGGACCATATTCAACCATGGTCCAACTACAGAACACATTGTCGGTCAACGGTCAAACCGTATCACCATCTCAAGAAACCAAAATCAAGACATTACATGATGATAATGATGATAATGATGATGATGATCATGATGATGGTGGTGGTTTATCCATGAGAAGAGAGAAAACGAGACTGATAGTAGATAGTTCTTATCTTGAAAAAGATAGCAATCTATCATGGAAAGAATTGATTCGGATGAATGCTCCTGAATGGAAATCGGCTCTAATTGGTTGTATAGGTGCTTTACTTAACGGATTAATTCAGCCATTACTCGCGTTTTTTCAGGGTGCAATGCTTTCCATTTTCTTTCTAAACAACCATGATGAAATCCGGTCTCAAACAACAACATTATGCTACATTTTTCTAGCCATTGCTGGATTTTCTTTCATCATCGGTGTGATCCAGCATTACTATTTTGGAATCATGGGTGAGAATTTAACCAAACGTGTCCGAGAATCAATGTTTTCAAAGATCATGAGTTTTGAAATCGAGTGGTTTCATCAAGAAAACAACAACACGGGAGCATTATGTTCGAGACTTGCTACAGACACAATCATGGTGAGAAACCTCGTAGCAGATCGATTGGCGTTTTTTGCACAAGCAATCTCGGCTTCCATTTCAGCTGTTATTCTGAGTATGATTTTGTCTTGGAAACTCGCTCTTGTTGCTGTTTCCTTACAGCTAGTCATCATCGTGTGTTTTTACCTAAAAGCCCTTGTGACAACGGAAACCGAGAACAAGAGCAGTGAGATAGCAAGTGAAGCGGTTAACAACCATAGAGTTATCACCGCGTATCATTCGCAAGAGCAGGTTATGAGGCTGTTTGAAGAGACACAGAAAGGTCGAAAAATGGAGAGTGATAAGAAGAATTGGTATCAAGGAATGGCTTTGTTTGCTAGACCATTTTTAACTAATATCAATATTGCCATTTTATATTGGTATGGAGGAAGGCTTCTTTATGAGAGAGATATAACATTCAAACACCTTTTTCAGACATTCTACATTGTGGTGTCAGCAGGGATGATAATAGCAGAAACCGGGAGTATGACAGGGGATTTGTCATTGGGAAAAAACGCGTTACAATCCTTGTTTATGATTCTAAAAAGAGAAGGCAAAATGCAGAGTCCAAAACAAGACATGATAATGCCTGAAAAGGTAGAAGGGCGTATAGAACTGAAAGAAGTGGATTTTTTTTATTTAAGCAGACCCACAAAGATGGCACTTAAAGGTCTAAGTTTAAAGATCAATGGTGGTGAGGTTGTTGCACTTGTTGGAACAAGTGGATCTGGAAAGTCAACAATTATAGGGTTGATCCAGCGATTTTTTGACCCGTGTAAAGGGTCTGTGGAAGTTGATGGAGTGGATATTATCAGATACAATCTGAGGGCGTTAAGGTCATTTATAGCATGGGTTAGTCAGGAGCCTACTTTGTTTGCAGAAACAATAAAAGAAAACATTGCTTATGGGAAAGAGAATGCAACAGAAGCCGAGATAATCCAAGCAGCAAATCTAGCAAATATCCATGAATTCATAAGTTCAATGAAAGATGGGTATGAGACTTACTGTGGTGAAAGAGGGGTGCAGTTATCAGGTGGACAGAAGCAAAGAATCGTGATTGCTCGAGCAATTTTGAAAAATCCAGCTATTTTACTTCTTGATGAGGCCACAAGTGCTTTGGATTTGAGATCAGAGGCACTCGTTCAAGATGCTCTTGAGAAAACCATGGTTGGTAGAACATGTGTGATTGTAGCTCACCGATTGTCTACAATTCAAAGATCCAATAAAATATCAGTGATTGATAATGGAAGAGTTGTAGAAGAAGGTTCTCATGATGATCTGTTAGCTAAAGGTAAAGAGGGTGCTTACTTTTCCCTTTTCAGTCTTCAACAACAAACCTTCCATAAGTAGTAGAAATTGGAAAGTGAGCTTGTAATAAACATCCATTACCTGCTATAAAGTTTTATATAGTAGCTATTCTGTAATCAAAGATCTTGTAATCAAATCTTGTTTAAACTTAAATAAAAAATCCATCAACTTTTTCATATAACAAATGTACTAACGAAAAAAAAAAAAAACATATCTGTACAAACGTAACAAAAGTGATTCCAATCTTATGTCCACAAACAAACGATTCCATTCCTGTCCGATGTAGCCAACGGTTTCCCAATTCCACTCCAAGAACAAGACAAAACCGAACCCGTATGCTCCTTAAGTGTACTGACAATATTACCCTTGGAAATCGACCAAACATGAACAACACCATCAACAGATCCAGCAGCAACATAATTATCATCAGCACTAATACAAGATCTACTCCAATTAGAAGCAACTCTATTCCCATTCGCTCTCAATGTCCCCATTACTTCAAGAGTCCTTGTATCAAACAAATTATGCAAATTATCCCTCCCACTTGTCAACACCGTATTCCCATTTCTAGAAAGAGAAATAGAGGTCACAGCAAGAGAATGCGCCGCAACCTCACTCAATAATTTCCCACTCTTCATGTCCCACAACCTTAAATGCCCGTCCATGTGTCCCGAACAAATCGTCTGTCCATCTGGCGTGAAAGACAAAGTATTACAATTACTCGGGAAGATAATCGTGTTGACACAATACCCTTTGTTAAGATCCCATATCTTGATTGTCCGGTCATACGCTGAGCTGGCAACATGGCGATTGGAGAATCTGCTGACATCAACAGCGCATACTTTATCTTTATGACCTGTGAGGGTGTGGCGAACACGACCCGTATTTGTGTCCCATGCGTATAGGTTGTTGGAGCTGCTTGCTGCTATTAGACATGTGTTGTCATTTGTAAGGGTGAGATCAAGGATGGATCCTATGCAACCATGGTAGGTTTTAGTGAGTTGACCGGTTGTTGTGTCCCACATTTTAACAGTTTGGTCTTGTCCTCCGGTGAGTAATTTTCCGGAAGTGTTTTCGAAGAGGATTGAAGCACAGCCGCCTTCGTGGGCGGGGATCCGGTGGTTGCAGGTGTTTGGTATGGTGGACTCCACGTAGTATTCGGCTCCTTCTTCACTTTGGCGGACTATACCATCTATCTGTTGTCTTGCAAGTTGTTCGAGTCCATTGGCTTTGAGCTTACATAACATGTCTTCATATAAAGCATTCGCCTGAAAATATAAATATAAATTTAAATATGAATGAAGAGTCTGAAGCAAATTAAGTAAAAAAGAAACAAGAACTAAAGCATATACCTCGTTAAGGCGTTCAGCATCCTGCATTTTCTGCAACATCCACCGATCAATCAATGTCTTGTTTTCAGTCTCTGCATTGATAGCTCTAGTTCTCATTTCTTCATATTGAGATTTCAGTTCCTTATTCTCACCCATAAGCAATTCTAGGCCTTTAGTCTTTTCCTCTAGAAGTGCAGCCAAGCGAGAACATTCATCCCTGCATAACAGTCATCAAGATAATATTATTGTGAATTAAACCACACAGAAGGAAAGGGGAAAACCTTGCTTGAGAAAGGTCATTTTCAAGATTAGGAATTAAGGCTTCTTTCTCCTGGACTAAGGATTTTGCAGCCCTAGATTCGGCCACTTCCACCACAAGCTGCTCGGATAATCGAGATTGAGCTTTGTAACATTGCTGAAGTTCCAATTCAAGAGTTTCTGCTTTATCCTTCCATTCTGAACCCTTCATGTTGCATATATATAAAGAAAATCAGTTATATCAGATTGGCATACCAAGACACTTTAACTTTCCACAAACCTTTTTGACACCTTATTGTCTGCTTTCTTCCAGATAATTTTAAAGCATGTAAATATTATATATGAACAGTTTCTATAGCCATAACGTTCTTGATAAAATTCACAGTAACTCCTTGAATGTTTACAAAACTGGCAGACAATTGAAATGCATCTGAACACAAACAAGTTGTGGAAAGGAAAAAAAATCCAAGATTGCAGTATATGTGTGCATTTGAGTACAGAAAGAGAACCTGAGAAGCAATAGGTTTAGAAAGAGCTATAATAGCAGGTCCGTGAGCTCCCTCCTCCAGCAGATGCCGCTTCCGAAGAGCCTTCAAAGCATGCTTTATTGCTTCTATCGCAATTTCGTCTTCTGACCTAAAAAGCGAACTCGATCGATCAATCAATCAATATTCAATCAGAAACAGTGTAAGCAGATTCAGTATATGAAATTAGTCGATTCTTAGTTGTACAAGTGATTCATAGAATTCAATGTTCATCGAAGCCTAGCGAAACGATTACTTACATGATGATGATTAGGTTACAATCCTGATTGGAATAATCGATTTAAATTGAGGTTTTCGGGCTTTTATGTTGAAAGGGTTTTCTTGAGAGAACGAAATTATTTGTAGATGAAAGTTAGGATGAAGTGTCTGAATTTTTAAAAGAGTGGATTACAAGATTCCTCCCTCCCCGAATACTACTACTAATAATAATAATAATAATAAATAATAATAAAATTTCATGTTTATTTGCAAAAATCAACTCGGTTTATTTGAATTTTGTATGTTTCATCCTTAATATCATTTTTCTTATATAAAAGGATGATTTTGCTCTTATTTATTTCTTTTTTATTTATTTTTATTTGTTAGTTATATTTAATTAATTACATATTTATTTCTTTATCTCTTTCTTCATCTAAATAGAAGTCTGGGCATTATCGGTCACCACTAGCCAACTATCTCCGATATACACTCTTCGGCCAACCACTGGCCACCATCTACGACCACCTAGGACCACCTACCATCGCTTGGGTCCACTGATACTCTCATTCTCACCCCTCACAATCGGAAATCGAAAAATCCAAAAAACACCCAATAATCCTATAAAAAAACCAAAAAAACTCACACCGTGGTTGTAAAGTTGAACCCTAGAATACATAACCACAAGACTACAGCCATTGAAGAGGGAGGAATAGACATGAGGTGGACATCATCGGACTCCTCACATATACGATTCCCATTTCCCCTCCATCCCCTTCATTGGACACTTTTTCAGACATCACCCACTAACAAACATCAGAGAAAAATGAAGTGTTCCAACCATCAGCATCCCCTTTCACCTCCGGCAACCCTTTCAAAGTCTAGATCTGAGAACAAAGATGTAACATCTCGTGTATTAAGTAAATAAATGGATAAGGGTTAATGTGAATAGTGATCCTAAAGTAAATAATATTTAGCGGAGTGTTGGTGTTAGGGAGCTAATTGATATAATTTTGGATTTTGAGGATTAAAAGAGTAATTTTTGGATTTAAACTGAGAAGGGTTTTAGAAGTCAGGGTGTGTATGGTATGTTTTTGGACTTAAATTGAAAGGATCGGAAGGCTTAGGGGTTGAATGGTAAATGTCGGGATTATATTGAGAAGTTTTGGTGGAGTGGGGACCAAATATGGAAAGAATGGATGGATGTTTGAAGGTGCACGGGTTTAGACCTTATGCTCCTTTGAGTCCTTTCCTTCCCGTTTCAAGAGATGTACGTTGAGTAACCTAAGTAACCTAACCATAGTGTATCTTTTCTTTAGCCGCCACCAAGGTGAGACTCCTCAGCCACCGCTCGATTCGCCAAGTCCGACTGCCACCTTGTTCCACTTGCTATCTCACCGTTGATTGTCGTCACTACAACCCTTACTATCGGAGACGTATTTGGGCAGTCGAACAAACCACCGAGGCCGAGTGTTGAGCCTTGATGCGTCGATGTGCTGGGTTTGAGTGAATGGGAAGTTGCTGGTAAGTCTAACGGCACCCACCTCCTCTCTCTCTTCATTCTCGCAGTGAATGCGACGTCGTAAACATCGATTGTGGTCACCGGTGGGCTTAGGTCGCCGCTTCTAGGCCATCAGTCGTTGTCTACCGCCCTATGAGGCTGAGTGGACGTGTTTGTGTGATTCAGATTGCATTTGTTTGTATGTATGTAGGTATAATCGGCTGGAAATCAAAAGAACCCGCCACCACCACCGGGAGGTGGTGGCAGCCATCCAATGTTGTTTTCTGCCGCTCTCCACTGCCACCATCCACCGTGGGAGGTGGCTGTGGGTGTGTTTATGGGTGTGTGCTCAAGTGTTTCCACTTTTTTTAGTATTTTGGAAGTTATATGTGTGTTTATGTGGCCGGAAAACCCACCACCACCACCATGAGGTGGCGGCCGCCACTGACCACCACTATCTGAGGTGGTAGTGGGTAGTGCTTGGCATAGTGAACCCTAATCGGCCCAAATGCTTGATCTAGGCTAGTTGGATGGTTATAGCGCTAGAAAACCCTAATTTTGGGTTTGTTGGTTTGGGCCTATTGGGACCCGCGTTTGGACCAGTGGACTGAAGTTATCACTCATGATGATTCTATTGTATGATGGCTTAGTGGAATAATGAACTTAATGGGTTAAGTAAGAAACACTTAACCCTAATCGTCATTTTATGTGAAAACCCTAAATTTGCTTGGGCCTTGTGTTGGGCTTTTCTATTAGGCTATTGATGGGCTACCCAAGAGCAATCATGTGGATTAGAATTTTAGATGGGCTTTAGGGTAAGGCCCGTATGAAGGTTTGGGCCTAATTTGGAAAATTGGGTCATAGTTGGGCCATTAGAGGACTTTTTGTGGACCCATGTGATATTGGGGCCTTGGTGGGCCCAATTGGCTTGGGTTATTTATGGGCTGGGTTGGTGGACCATATTTAGACCTAATATGTGAAGGTATGGTCTTAGATCCTAATGAGGTTAATTGTGGGTTTGGCTCAGTGTTAGAGGTTGGAGTCCGGAGTACAACAACAACATTTGTAGGATCTGTCCGCCATCCGAGGTAAGTCTTCTCACTATACTTACCTGTGTTGTAATTTGTGTGTGACCGAAGGGTCTTATTCTCGTTGATGACCAGAGGGTCGTATTTACACTATTGACCGGAGGGTCTTAGTACATTATGGACCGTAGGGTCTTGTTTGTTTATAATGTGATATGTATTATCGTGCATACTGTCTTTGTGACTTATGTTGTTATAGTAATCTGTGTAAATATTGATCTTATGTGCTTACCTAAGTTGTGTGATAGTATGCATTTTCTATGCGCATATGTTGCGTGTTGAGATATCCTGCTTATTGTTGTTGTGATATGTATATTGTGATTAATTGAGTTACCGAGTTGAGGGACCAAAGGGTCCATCTAAGTTGTGGGACAGAGGGTCCCACTGAGACACATTAACCGGAGGGTCTTATTGTGAATATAGCCATGAGAGGCTAATAGGATATGTGTGGTACTTTGGGGAACTCACTAAGCTTCGTACTTACCATGTTATGTGTTATGTGTTTCAGGTACTTCTCAGAATCACGGGAAGGATATTGCTTTCTGTCTTTCTCTCTTAGTAACTTCGACGATGGTGGCCTTCCATCTTGGTATCTTCGTCGATGTTCTTCCCTCTCTTTGTAGATCATCAACATAAAAGAAGAACCGATGGAGATGAAGAGTGTAAATGGGGCTAAGGTAGAGGATTTGTGGTGGTGGGTCTCATTTTTGTTTTTTCTTTTAAATTATTAATAATAAATAAATTAAAAAATAAATCAAAAAGGGTAACATAGTCATTTTATGCCCATCTTGGAGGGTCGAAGTGAGAAAAAAATATTAGAGGGATGGTCCGAGTTAATTTTTTTAATAGAATCTTTTCTATTCATCATAATGTCAATATGGTCCATTCAATACCATGCTTCCAACTACTCACAAGCAACCAATCATCGTCGAACTTTGGATTGTCCTTTGATAGTTGTTTAATTATTTTAGTCAAAACTGATTCTAGTCCCTTTTCCCTCTAAATGCGCTAGACATTTGGAAAATTTTAGAATGGTCAAACATTAAATCATTTGCAATCGATCCTATACCCGAAGCGTATGGGACACGACGCATAATGTTTTAGTTGCTATGTTCTCAAAATTCGAATTGTGAAGAGGAATGCCATAATCATAATCGAAACTTTAAGAACACACTGTGTACCTTTGACTAAATTTATCAACATTTCTTAACCTAATCCTTTAGATTTGAAATGAAGCATAATATTCTCTCCCTTAATTATAGCAAAACAACTTTACAACCCTTACGACTTTGCAAGGTATAACTCTTTTTTCTATAATTAATATTGCCAACTTGCAATACGTGCCTTAATAATCATACAATCATAACATTTATGCTCCCACTATCATGATGATTATTATAAAACATAACACTTATGCTCCCACTAGCTTCGACATGTATTCATAAACATCTTAACTTTCAGAAAAACAATACTTATTGAATTTCTTAAGTTCATGTTTCTAATACTTAGTGCTTTGATAATCTTTTATCAAGGCTTCTTGAACTTATACACCTTTGCCTTCGATAGTTCATATGTGTGTCTAAACAATTAAGACTAATTGCCAAACCTCAAATTATGGAAAGGGATGTCGTAACCATAATCGAATTCAAGAATGCAATTTTACAATCACTATCTTATAAAATCTTTCTTAGTGAAAGCATTTTCTCACAATCATTTTCATGAATAAGGAAATCTTATGACACTTAGATTTAAACGGTGTATGTGTTCCTATCCATGTGAATTTGTTAAAACCAAAGTTTACGACAAATTCAAACTCATATGGATCGAACTTTCTTAATCTTGATTTCTTGCCTTATGGTAGCACAGCTGCCCACCACGTCTTCCAAGTAGTTAAGCAGCTCACCTTTTCCTATCAATGTACTTTCCATTGATCAAGGTCCTTGCCTTTTATGCATTCAAATGAGAACTCATAGGACTCACATGCATAATTAACTCGATTGGATTGGCACAGAAACAAAATAATGTCTTCACGATAGGTTGTAAACCTCAACTCGTGTGCTAGTGATGATCGATAAGGTTTATTTGATTTGTTCTTGAAACTTTCAAGACCATTAAGACTCCCACTGACTCCTTGACATATAAGATTCTCTTATCAAAACATTTCTTGACAAACAAATATTCAAGAGTTAGTGTAGCTTTTATCAAAACAAAACACTTCATAATTTTGGTCTTAGTTGGTCTTTGTCTTATCCAAGACATCACAACTTTCCACAATTGATGAATGTTATAAACCTTCTTAATACTATTCACTCAATGTCACAATCTTGACTTTAAGACTTGTTTTGGAACGAAGTATGATTGACTTCTTGATTTGACCATTTCTTCAATCTTTGATTCCTCTTCTTGGACATACAATTGTACCAAGACTCACTTAGAGGATCAATTGAGATATGGTTCTTAATCATTAAGACCTATCATAAAGCATAAAAGCTACTCTCCCTTCTTCTTAGAATGGAGAAACTCTTATCTTTCTGCCTACTTGATTCTTCTTATTCGTTTTGCTATTGATCTAAACCTTTAATCAATTCAAAATTACACTTAATCTTGTAAGTGTAATCATATTTACTAAGCCTTTAGTAAATCATGACGAATATCTTTGTTACTCTTATGGTGAACTTGATCAACACACAACTTTGTGTACTCGATCTCCTAGTCCTTCACTTGACACTTTGTCAATGAATTAGTCTAATTTCCAAATATGAAATTTCTCATTCATCGTGCAACCAGTTGCATGATTCCAAGTTTCTGTCCAATTGAAACTTGAGCGATGAGAAACTCTCCCTATTTGGTAAATTCTTGACTTTCCATAACACAATAAGAAACAAATCCATTATTGTTAATAATTTTAACATCATTTTTTCATACACTCCATTGTAAGGATAAATAAATAAAATTTAAAATCAAAAAATTTATTTTATTGCGGAAAAATTTGTCCTTACAATGCAACTCATTGAAAAAACTTATGCTAATACATCTTTCTTAGCAACCTAATTCTAACTCTAAGTAGTAGCTCAAGAATCTAATCTTCGAGAAACGCGATCGAAATCCATTCCTTCACGGTTAGATTCTGC